GGGAGAGAGAAAGTTTACCAAAACTATTTGTGTAAAACCCCAGCCTCTCACAACAGCCACTTAGACAAACAAGGAGAGATGAGGCTGAGGAAGAACATGGCCCAGTCCCGGAGGCTGGGGAAGGCCCGGATGAGGGCTCTGCAGTGGAGGCAGAGGTGGGGCCAGGGCCATCGGGGAGTGATGCGCGGACTTCAGAGCCTCCAGAGGCTGACAGCAGAGAGGCAGAGGAACAGGAGGAGCCTGTTCCTAGTGCACACATGAGAAGAGCTGCCAGAAGGCAGGAGCAGGTAAAGCAGACAGGACGACTCGGGAGTAGGGCCAAGAGATGATTGGCCCTTCCCATAAGGCTTAAAAGACCAGCAACGGCTCTTGGTCTCTTTGCCGGAAAACAACGTTGAGAGATTTGCTTCTTGTTTCACTGTATTCATTTCTTGTCGGCGTCTTCTGCTTCTGAACTTTTGCCAAGAGAAAAGCCTTTGGCAGTTTGCCTAATTATACCAAGGTCAGTGATAAACTGAGGAAAGGTGTTTTGAAGAATTTCTTTTAATTTAGTTTGGACTACGCTGAGAATGAGTTAGTTCTCATCTGTTCTAATAAAGTTTGTTTGTTTTCGAACTGTTCGCATTTAATACTAACTACTTGGGCCTGGGTCACAACACTTTAAGATACATGGACTTCAATTCCCAGCATTAAGAGACACTGATGTGGTATACAGTCATGTAATGTGTGCAGATGTATGCTTGTCTATACATCAACATACACATTAAGATTTTCATGCATGTATTTTAATAGTGAACATACGGACTATTGCATATTTCTGAAGCACACTTCACAAACAGAATTGTGCTATGGACATTCATACATTTACAATGAGTGAAGTGTTTCATCAACATGTTCAGATGGAGGGGAATATGACAGAGCTGAAATCTGTAGCAATAATTTGCACTTGGGGACATATAAGACAGGTGTCACTGAAAATTTTCAAGAGAAGAATTCATCTCAGAAAGACAACCAGGTAGTTTGGCTCTCTAAAAATCAGGAGAGAACTCATATGATTCTAATTCCAAAAACTAATTCCAAAAAAGTTTGAGAAGCTCCAGAAATTCAGGAAAAAGAAAAGAAAGTTGGGGTTGTTTTGTGGAAGGAAGGAAGGAAGGAAGGAAGGAAGGAAGGAAGGAAGGAAGGAAGGAAGGAAGGAAGTCATACATGGGAGAAATTAAAATTGATATATCCATCCTACATATATAAGAACATCCATATTTAATGATCCATCACAACTTTGAAATCTTGGGTTGAACTTTCATACTTTTGAATGTTCACGACACAATTTGCTGAGGCTGTGCAATATTGCCTTTTTATGTGATTTCTGCAACTTTTTCCAACAGTGCCCTTTCCTGCGTACCCTAAGGAATTCTTTGTTCAGCTGACCTTCTATGCCACTTCTTCATATTATTCATGAATTGCTGTTGGATCTGTTTGGTATAACTCTTAGATAGGTTAGACAGGAAATATCAGCTGAGGTTGAAGGGAGTGGAACTTTGCTAAGAACCTTGGCTAACTTATTTTCTGACCCTATTAGCTTCACCTGTGTTTTTCAAAAATCCCACTCTCCCTCTTTGTTTCTGCACTAATCTGCTGGGTTATTGAAAATAATAATAAAACTCCGAAAATGGGCAAACTGTTTATGTGGAATGCAAACCGTGTGTTGTAATATATACCTTTTATTGGAAAACACACATGGTCAGAATGTTAATCCAGTTAACAGAATAACGGAGTTGGAAAAACCTTGGAGGCTTCTAGTCCAACCCATTGCTCAAGCAGGAAACCCTATACCATTTCAGACAAATGATTGTCTAATCTCTTCTTAAAAGTTGGAGAAGTAAAGGTGTATTTGTTCACAACAAAATGTGGTCCAAGTCAATTTCTCAGGCATTGTGAGTATTTTCATAATAAAAACTCTCTATTAAATGGACATTAGAAAATGGAGAAATTAAGAATAATTAATCAATGGAACAGATTGCCTGCTGGAGTTGTGGATGCTCCATTGCTGGAGGTTTCCAGAAAAGATTGGACCGGGGTGAAATGCTCTTGTTTCGGACCGGATCACCTGATCCAGTAGCGATGACGGCGGGTGATTCGGAGAACCGGTAGCAAAAATCCCTGCCCACACCCCATGCCCAGCTGAGCCATGCGATCATCAGAGGCTTTTTTTTTTTTTTACTTTTAAACGCATTTTTCCTTCAGCCGAAAAAATGCTTTTAAAAGTAAAAAAAAAAAGCCTCTGATGATTGCATGGCTCAGCTGGGATCGTCAGAGCCTTTTAAAAGCATTTTTTTTTTACAACCTCTTCGGCTGAAGAGATTGTAGAAAAAATGCTTTTAAAAATAATAATAAAAAAAAAATGTTCTGCAGAGATTCTGCAACAACACAAACATTCCTTGCCCATATCTGGCCCAGGGGCCGCAGTCTGAGACTCCTGATTTAGTGCAATATAAAAAATACAAATAATTTTTCTGCGGACCACCAAAATTTTCTCGCAGACCACCAGTGGTCCACGGACCACCAGTTGGTGACCACTGACCTAGACAGAGTGAGTGTGAGTTCTGACAACAACTTTGGTTTCTCTGCACAAGGCCTTGTTTGTAACATCCATCCTCAGATTTGCTCATGACTTCTTGTGGGTTGCCATGATTTGAAAAAGCCTGCTGGATGGTATTCCTTCTTCCCATTTCCCCTGTCTTGCACCCTGTTAGTGGAATTCTAAATTGAACTGGAATCCACTGGAGGCTGCAGGCAAATCTCTGAACAAACCTTATCTACGCTCTGTGTAGCCAGTAAGCCAATGAGTAAATTCCAAACCAAGGAAAAGGTTAAGGTTCAGGATTCAATCTGATCTAATCACAAATCCTTTTGGTTGGCTGCCGGACAACCCAGATTGCTAAAATATATGGGCTGTTAGGCAAATCCATTAGGAGTGTTTAGAAGCTCTTATGATTTTATGTTCTAATCTGAACCAGAAAAGAGTCGCGTGAATAATCCAGGAACAGGGAGAAACTTGGGACTTTAGATCAAGTGTTGTTCCAACATATAGTAAGCCTACACTGGAAGAAGATGTTAAGCCCAGAAGAGCATATGGTAGTAGTTTTGTGTTGAGGGAGGGAGAGAGAGAGAGAAAAAAAAATGTCTAAATAAATCCAATTTACATGTTCAGGGAAAGGATTGGAGATGTAATGAGATCTGATCTCTCAACTGATATAGGATAGTCATGGCTTTTAATAGATTATTCTAGTGTCCATATAGATATTTACTGAGACATTGATTTCCTACTTTTTGGGTCCCAGAGCTCTTTTCCTTTCCTTAATACTGATCGGCAGGTGGAGAAACCTTGCACACTCATTGCTGCATTTGACACAGAAAATAAACCAATGGCAGGGAACAATGGATATTATATCCAAATTCTCTTATACATATAAAGAAGAGGAGATGTGGAGAGACAGAGAGAGAAAGACAGACAGACAGACAACAGACCGAATAGATTGAGAGAGAAATCCCAAGGGTGTTTTTCCAAAAGGCAACTGGATTTTCTTGTTTTTTTTTCCCTTGAAAATATTTTGCTTCTCCTCCAAGAAGCTTCTTTTATTATTATTATTAGTTCAGTTTATATGCTGCCTTTCTCCGAAGACTTAGGGCGGCTTCAGTTCTTCTTCAGCTCTAACTGAATGGTGAGGATGAGAAGTGAAACGTCTTCAAGGAAAAAAACCAAGTCCAGGAAAAGCATTTTTGGGACAACTATGATCTGGATGATTGAGAATCTCCATCAACACCTCAAGAGAGACAGACAGATGGAGAGAGAGAGAGAGAGAGAGAGAGAGAGAGAGAGAGAGAGAGAGAGAGAGAGAGAGAAGATAGAAATAGAGATAGAGTGATCCACAAAGATCAAAATATCCATCTGTCTTTGGAAAATTTGGCAGAATCCTGTTTTTCACTGAGCAGAATAATCCTTCCCAGTGTAACTTGACTGCAGGCTGTATCATTGAGAGCTGAGAACCGCAGAGTTCAGTCCAGTGGTGGAATTCAATTTTTTTTACTACCGGTTCTGTGGGCATGGCTTGGTGGGCGTGGTGTGCTGTGGTGTGGCTTGGTGGGCATGGCAGGGGAAGGATACTGCAAAATCTCCATTCCCTCCCAACTCTGGAGCCAGACAGAGGTGGTATTTGCCAGTTCTCCGTACTACTCAAAATTTCCTCTACCGGTTCTCCAGAACCTGTCAGAACCTGCTGAATAGCACCCCTGGTTGAGTCTCAGCAGATAGCATGGGGGAGAAAAGAGAAGCAGGAGAACAAGAAAAATGTGCTGAGTCATGTGAAAAGTGGAGACTGTCTGGCACTTGAAGAACTCCTTTGAAAAAGTAGACAATCACCACTATATACAATCTCCCTCTATACATGCAAGTCAGGGAAAGCAACAGATGGAACCTACCTAGGGACACTGAATTAGTGTGGTTTTCTCCATTTCCCCTATAAAGATATACAAGTTCTACAATATATTATATTAAAAAAAGTCTGGATAGTGGACATTGCAGTACCTCGAGACAGCAGTATCGAAGAGAAAGAACTGGAGAAAACTCACAAAATACAAAGACCAGCAAACAGAAACGGAACAAACCGCGCAAAAGAAAGCAAAAATAATAGGTGCCTTGGAACACATCTGGAGCACCACTTGAACACCATGGGCATTGACAAAATCGCCATCAGTCAATTGCAATAGACAGCTCTACTTGGAACAGCTTACATCCTGTGAAAATGCCTTTAATATCGTCAAACAACATCTGCCTGTTCCAGATGTTGGAAGGATTTAACAGATGTATAAAAAAGCCAAATCCAGCCTAAAACATCTAACTACTGTGCAAACAATCAGGGTCAAGGTCACCTTTTTTAAAAAAAATAATAAAACCAATTTACTCAAAAACAGGTAGAAAGGCTCAAAAGGCCGAACCTAGAACTAAGGAGAAATTTCCTGACAGAACAATCAATCATTAAACGACTTACTTTCAGAAGTTGTAGATGCTCCAACACTGGAGGTTTTTAAGAGATTGGACAGCCATTTGTTGGAAATAGTACAGGGTTTCCTGCTTGAGCAGGGAGTTAGACTAGAAAACCTCCAAGGTCTCTTCCACCTCTGTTATTCTGTTAAAATTCCGGCCTTTCTCTCATGGTCTCACAGCCAACTTCCTGAGGAAGAAAAATAAAAATTCTGGCTGTAATAGACTGCTCCTCTGTCTATCAGGCAACAATTTATGCTAAAAGACCGAAGACCATTTTTAAACATTAGAAATTTAAAAAAAAAAATGATGCCAGATCCTTTAATCCAATGTGGGCAAAGGAACTGAAGTCCTGCTCAATTAACATTCCCAGAGTAGAGTCCATTTAGAAATCCCCTGGCCTAAGAGGTTAAATGCTTATTATACCACTGTCTTTGTGGCAAAGAGTTCCCTCTGTAAGTTGACCTGTCATACAAAATTGCCAATTTATAGAAATATTCCTTGTTTAGAAAACAAGATTATCCAAAGACTATCATTATTAGGAGCATCAGCAGGCATAAGCCTATATTAGTGCAGAAGCTCTAGATACATTCGTCAAACCCAGTTTTCTTTATTTTCCATTCATTCTTTTTTTTCCTCCTCCCTTCCCTTCTTTCCTCCTTGCCTTTCTGTCCGAATACTTTTAAGTTCAGGGACAGAGAACATGTCTTCATTAGAAACATTAACATTCACAGCCTGTAGTAAATTTTGACAGTGAAAAGGTCTCTGTAACCTTTAGTTGTGCAGAAATTTACTTCCCAAGAAAATTACAGCTGGCACTGTCTTAATTAATGCTAGCTTTCTTTTCTGGAAATTGTGGGCTTGTCAGTTAAAAAAAAAAAAAAGACAGGAAAAAGAAGAGAGTGAAAAAAACCCACATTTAAAAAAGTGGACACAGAAAGCAGCTATGAATAAAGGAGGAGGGGGAAAAAAATCATAATATTTCTCTGTTTGGGTTTGTGCGTGTCTTGTTTGTTTGACAGCAAGGACAGGAAAGCACCGCCTGGATTTTTGCCACCTGGAACAACGTCTCTATACTCTTGAGAATCCATTTGCATCCTCCTCGTTTAAAATATTGTTTTAGAGTGGGTATTATTCCCCTCCCTTTCTACCCACTCCCCACCCTGTCATCCTTTTCTGGTAATCTGTTTTCAAACCGATAAGTGAAATAAAACCTACAATTACAGGAAGGGAACACAAGGGGGGAAAAATGGATGCTTTGGTTTTGTCTGTTTTGAAAAATATTGCAGCGTCCCTCCGTTTGCATTTTTTGTTCACCCAATGGTACAACTTTGTTCTTCCTGCCTGAAGCAGAAACCCACACCCCACATCTACTTCATCTAGTGTTGACATATTGCTTAGGGGCACACCAGTAATGTAGCCATATTCCCAGGGAAGTGTGTGCATAAAGTCACAGGCCCAGCTGGGATTGCACTATTGCAGGGACCATCTTGCCTTTTTTGCCCTCGTTCTGCAGACACTCCTGTAGGTATACCTGGAACTAATTGCAAGAAGGAAGGAAGGAAGGAAGGAAGGAAGGAAGGAAGGAAGGAAGGAAGGAAGGAAGGAAGATAGAGAGGAGAGAGGGAAGAGGGAAGGAGGGAGGAAAGAAAGAAGGAAAAAGTAAGGGTGGGAGGGAGTAGAGAGAAGATAGAGAGGAGGGAGTGAGGGAGAGAGAGAAGGGAAAGAAAGAAAGAAAGAAAGAAAGAAAGAAAGAAAGAAAGAAAGAAAGAAAGAAGAAAGAAAGAAAGAAAGAAAGAAAAAAGAAAGAAAGAAAGAAAGAAAGAAAGAAAGAAAGAAAGAAAGAAAGAAAGAAAGAAGGGAGGGAGGGAGAGAGACGCAAGTAAGCAATTGGGTAATAGGAACTGATCTCACCTGATTTGTGCCTAACCTGCTTTTTTTTTCTTCTGTAGGTGTTATGAATTTTATATTGTAAAGTCCAAGAATAAGTCGCACTTATTCTAAACAGGAAGAAGTCACCTTTTAGCTAAAGAGTGAGATTAAATGCCCCAAATAAATAAAAACCAACATATCTGCATGGGAAATTTCTAAATATACCCATAGTGTGACCATAAGTAACTTTTTTTCATTGGATAACAACTTTCAATACTTCTTCAGTTGCTTTTTGTAAGCAGCATTTTAAATCAAGGTGTGATGCTCCCAATGCTTTATTCGTAGCTGAGAACTGAGGAGGAAGTCCAGTGATTTGGCTTTTTCATCCCACTTCTAGTTTCCTATAAAATACATCCTCAAAAAAGTCTTAAAAGATAGGAAATAAGTTCTTAGAATTGAAGCAAGGGTTAAATATTACAGTCTGCTAGTCTGCACACTCGTTGGACATTATGCCTTTAATGGTTCCATTTTTCCCCCCTTTTTAACTAGCATGTTGGAATAGGCGATAAAAATTAACCAATAATGAAATATTCATAAGGACCACCACGCTAATCGGAAAGTGTTACATTCAAAGGGCACACACTTAAGCAAATATTGTATGGGCTGCAAATCCCAGCATTTTTATCTTTTGGTATGGAGCAGAAGGCAACAGTAAACAATGGCTTTAAGATCTAAAGAGGGCTGTTGGAACGAGGGGGCATCCATAATCATGTGATCGAAACCACAACCTTTTGTTACGTGGGTCACAACGCATGGTAAAAAGGTGCCAGGCTGAAACAAGGAGATTTACACCTCTGTCATCAAGTCTTGATATCATTGGCATCCTTCAGTCTCAAGAGACTATGGTATCGTGCTCTGGAAAGAGGTCCTAAAACAGCATCTAGTGCATTGATGGCTAACCTTTTTGCCGTCGCGTGCCAAAAGCGGGGGGAGAGCAGGGGGTTGAGTGTGCATGTGCCCACACCCATAATTCACTGTGTCCCACCCCGCCGTGCATGCACATACAACCCCCCCTGCGCTCCTCCCGCTTTTGGCACGCAATGGCACAGTGGGCCGGGTAGGCCTGTTTTTTGCCCTCCCCAGGCTCCAGGTACTTTCTAGAAACCTGGGGAAGGCAAAAATGGCCTGCCCCCCTGGAGGCCAGAAATGGCCCATTTCCCGATTTCTGGTGGGCCCAAAAGGCACGAAAATCAGCTGGCTGGCATACACATGCATGCTGGAGCTGAGCTGGGGCAATACTCGCGTGGCCACAGATATGGCTCTGCATGCCACTTGTGGCACGCGTGCCATAGGTTCACCATCACGGATCTAGTGTGACTAAAAAGGCCAATTCGAGAGTGGCAATCCCTTCCACATTGACGGCAGATACATTCTGTCCCCTGCCCAGCCCCCAGATTTCGCTGGTTCCGGGACTGCCTCTTTGCCTCAGCCTGCCGAACAAGTGTCTCTTCGAATGTGTCTTCGCACTAACTTTATTCGGGATCTTTTTTGCTGTCATGCTGAAACATGCTTTTGGAACTGCAACAGAGGGTATTTACCTCCGGACCAGATCAGACGGAAAACTCTTTAATTTCTCTAGATTGAGAGCAAAGTCTGAAGTCTAGCTGAAAGGTTTACGGGATTTCCTCTTCGCTGATGATGCTGCCGTCACTGCTCACTCTGCTGAAGACCTTCAACAACTTATGGACAGTTTTAGCAAGGCCTGCCAAGACTTTGGACTAACAATCAGCCTGAAAAAAACACAAGTCATCGGTCAGGATGTGGATTCACCTCCCTGTATTACAATCTCTGCACAAGAACTGTCATCAAGTCTTGATATATGTCTGAAAGAAGGGAGATGAATTTATTAAATAAACAAACGGAGCCAATTTGGTTAAGGCACCAGGTTAGAAACTGGAAGACTGTGAGTTCTAGTTCTGCCTTAGGCACAAAAGCCATTCTTTCCTTCATGGCATAGAACAGAGTGAAGATCACCTGGTGTCCTACTTTTTACCTCTGCTGCTGCTGCTGTTCTATATAACAGGTAGTCCCCGACTTGCCTTTCTTCTTGTTTAGTGACCGTTCGAAGTTGAAACGGCACTGAAAAAGTGATATACGTCCGCTTTCCATATTTATGACTGTTTTTTTTTCGTTAAAAAGTTTTTTATGAATAGTATGAAATTAAAAAAACATTAGACATACAGTAGATATGACATCACTGGTTCCGAACTTCTTCCGTCACTTTACAATAATATTAGTACTCATATAAACATATAGTTCTTGAGCTTTGTTCATTATTTAAACATAATATATTAATACTTTCCCCCTTATTTCTGTATATTTATTCATCTCTTAAACATACATTTATCTATAATAACATAATTATGACTATTGCTGCATCCACATGGCCACGTGATCAAAATCCAGATACTTGGCATTGATTTAGAGAAATGGCAAAAATTGTGGTCGCAAAACTATAAAATGACAATGTCTACAGCATATAAGGAGAATTTGTATAAGATGTTTTACAGGTGGCATCTACCCCCGGCGAGAATAGCCAGAATGTTCAAGAACAAATCGGAGAAATGTTGGAAATGTCATCAGACTCCAGGATCATATTACCATATGTGGTGGACATGTACAAAAGCTAAAAGATATTGAACCAAAATCTACACATGGTCGGAAAAAATGACAAAGAAACACATTGACTTTAAACCTGAGACATTTTTATTAGGGATTCTACCAGAAATGTATAATAGAGAACTGAGATATTTAATTGTGAATGAAGCGGCTAGAATTGTATTTGCTAAAAATTGGAAAAAAGAGAAAATACCTACTGAAGATGAAGTCATTAAGAAAATTATGGAATGTGCTGAAATGAGTAAATTGACATTTGAAATTAGAGAACAGGAAGACAAACAATATTATTTGATATGGGATTTGTTTTACCAATGGCTAGATAATAAGGTATGGAAACGAAGTATGAAATATGAAATTAATGTAATGATAAAATATAAGAAGTATTTTTTTCTTTTCTTTTTTTTTTATGGGAGTCAAACTTTTGTTAAATAATTGTTAAATGAGAATAATAATATAAAGGGATATGTAAAATTGTCAAATAAGAGAAATTAAATAATTTGTAAATTGTGGATATGGGATTAAGCACAAAAGATTTTTAACCGATTGACACACTTTCTGTGATTGTAATGGATGATGGTTGTTTTACATTTTGTTATGTTTAAAAATAAAAAATTCTTGGGAAAAAAAATTCAAACTAGCAAACTGACTCAAAATTATAATGGTTGCAGTGTCTCAGGGGCGTGTGATCCCCTTTTGCAACTTTCCGAGAAGCAGAAGTCAGCGGGGAAACCAGATTCACTTAACAACCCTGTCACTAATTAACCTAATGACATGTTATTAACCTAACAACTGCAGGAGTCCACTTAACAACAGAGGCAGGGAAGGTAGTAAAATGGGGCAAAACTCACTTAACAACTGAAGTGCTTAGCAACAGAAATCATAGAGGTCATAAATTGAGGACTACCAGTATTTAAATATACAAAGGATGAACGTTGGAATAACAAAAGGCATATTCTGCTTTCAGGCTGCCCATGTTAATTACTCTTAGTGCTCTGGAAACACACACCTACACAATGAGAGAGGTAAAGGTGTTGGATACGGGCTACGGTACTGCAAAGCTCTAACCAAAATGAATTGGTGTAGTACCAAAATTGCCTACAGAACAGACCCTTTAGCATATTGGCAGCTGCATAATATACAGCATTTTCCCCTTAATTCTTCATTTCTTGCGCTCAGATTGAATTCCCAAAGCCCCCTTGAGACAAAAATATCTCAATTTCCTGCAATATGTATGTCCAGCATTCTCTCCCCCAATTTTACAGGCCCCATCTCCAGGCAGAGACAATATTGACGCTAAACTACCTTATTATATTTGAATATATTTGAACTCTCTCAAATGTTTGCAATAAACAACAGTAGATCTTCCTATGGGAAACAGGTAGATTTAGCGAAGAGGGTCCCTAAGGATATATTATGGTATCTTCTCTTCCTTGTTTAGCCACTTTTAACATGGGACCTTCCATTTGCTATACCAGATTATACAAATATATTTTACAGTTTCTTTTCTCTCTCTCTCTCTCTCTCTTGCCTAATGGTTATCATGGCATTTCATTTGTCTTGCCCTTCTAATAATGGTAACAGGGCAGCTTTCTTTGTTTTTTTATAACTGTTCTGAGTAAGTCTGACATTCACTTCAGAGGAACTAATGTCAGCCAAAAAATCCATAATACTCTTGAGAATGTAGTAAGACCCTTTCCATCTATTTTTAGATTTCTAAAGAACAAAGCCTTTTTCATTTCCCATCACATCTACATTTTTGCAACATTTTAAGATATTAAAGGTTTCAACGACTGCTAACACTTTGCTAGAGAGGAAAGTCAACAGTGTGCCCAACGTTCATATAAAATGCAGGAAAATATTATTTTCATTAGAAAAGCCCCCGCTAGAACTGTAACTAATGAGTATTCCAATAGGAATACAATCGGGTAACTTTGGGAGGTTTGCCCAGTAAATTACACCTTGCTTCATGATTTACTCAGTTGCATTTAATTCCGCTCAGGATTGTGAGTTAATACAAATATTGAACTCATTTGTTACTTTTCTGTAAGTCTTATCTGTAGTAATGTACAGTTTGAGATAATACCATAATTAAAGGAATTTTGCATCTGAGATGCCACAATTATGTATTTGTGTGTATTTGGAATAATTCAATTCTGAAGACTTTCCCAATTCCTTTTTTTTTACTGGATTTCCTGAATATCTTCTTTTTCAAGGAGAATTTGAAGAATGCCAAATTTAGCTCCTCAGACCAGCACATGGAACAACTTTGAATGGTCTACCCGATTTTTCATTGTTGCAAAAAACTCTGATGTGAGTTTTGCTTTGGCTTTAAAATATTCATTTGGAAGTAAAGTTTGGTGTAGTTTCTTATGTAGATTAATACGATCTGGGCTAAATGAGGAAAAATTGTAGCTACCAATCAGTCAAAATGTATTTATGGTCAAAGACCAAACATGGTAATAAGGCTAGCAATACAATAGAACCACTATAAAAAGGAATTTGAAAAATTGCAAGAAAACCCTAGAACACTTAGTAGCTAACAATAACATGAAGGATGAACAAAACAGCTATTGTTAAGAATTTTGCATCTACATTCAACCTATTCAGTGACAACTAAAATCTAAAGTGGTTGAGTAGTACATATTTCTTATTTTTATAATTTAACCAATTTCAAAAATTCTCCGGGCAGATTACACTTTCCTTAAAAGGATAAAATAAATAAATAAAATAGCAAACAAGTACTGTGTACTTGTTTCCACCTGAAGGTTTCCAACCTTAAATTAACTCTCCGCTTTAATTGTAGCCATGGACCCATTGGGGAGGATATGCCTATAAACACTGAAGTAAAAGGAGATTTAGAAAGTCCTGTTTTTAAAATGCCACTCATTTTATGGGTCCTGTCTCTTTCCATACTTTAAAAATGTCCAGCATTGCTTAGCTCATAAGAGATATTTTTCTTTATTAAGGTTCCCTAATCTCACGTCGACTAACTCATTGGAAATGAGGACTAACTTCCCTAATTTTCAAGTTCAAGTTAATTGTTTTTAAGGGTCTCTGGATCAACACCATATCCCTTTTGGGACTATTTGTAAATTTGCAACTTGGTAAAATAAGAACCCTCCCTTACAGGCACTGATTAATCCACCCTGTTGAGAATCTTCAGAGTTTCACCAGCATTCAATTATTTATGGAGGACAATGTGTTTTTGTTGATGAGCAAAATGAAGTCCTCAGAGAGCAAAATCAATCTTATGTGGAGACCCTCCTCCCCCTCCAAATATTGATTTTAGCATACATTGACTATTTCTGGTTGTTAGCTATTTGGAAATGACCACACAAAATGAGGAAGTTGTTAAGAGTTTAAGGTTTTGGTATTTATCGGCAAGTCCAGCACACATATGATTAATCACATATTTGCAAAGTGAGCTCTCTGGAAAATTGACTGCCACACAGCAAAAAAAGCAGAAGGAAAAGCATATACACACAAATGTACATCTGCATCCCCCCTCTCTCCCCAAAGTTTTATGTTATCAGCCTCTGCAGAAATTTTGGACAAGTGGAATGTATCTTCCCCAAACCAATTTGCCTCGTTAAAAAGGGTTGCTTATATAGTAGTTAACGGAAAAATGTAAGTAATTACACACCAAATCCATCTTAAACCATTTGTTATAGCCTTCTCCGCCCTCTCTTATTGGTTTTCCATCTTCATTATCTAGTACTTTGTTAGACCTAAACAAAAATCACAGGCATGAGACTCACTAAAGAGCTTGTGCTGAAGATGGTGAAACAACATCTGGATTGTAGATGGAATAAAGACCTGGTAAAGTGATAACACTCCCCCATCTCACAAATATTCCTCAACAAACTACTTTCTAAAGTTAAGTATCTTTCTTTTCTTAACCCAAGGATGCCAAGGTTTATATCTGTAGCTCAAAGGGAGGTCAGTCGAGAGATAACAGTAGGATTTTCAGCCGATATGATTGGAGTTATTTATTACAGCAATATCCTGCCTTTTCTCTATGCAACTCAGATAGGTATACATGGTTCTTATCTCTGATTTTATTGTAACAACATCCTTCTGAAGGAGAATGGGCAGAATAAGAGTTCCAAGT